TCAAATGAAGCAGCAATATTTTTATTTGAAATTATTTCATAAGTATCATTTGGTTTATAAGCACCATATTCATGAGCACATGATTCATCATAATTTATTGATGGATCATACTTTAGATATGATTGATTACTGTCTTCATCAGTAAAATGAGCTTGTTCAAGAACATTTTGAATAATTTCTCGAATACAACTAAAACAAAAAACAATCATATAAAGTTTTTAAAATCAATTTCCATATGAAAGCATGTCTAAATATAATTTTATTTTAAAAATAAAAATATTATTGTGCTTTATTTTTATACAACAAATTTTTCGTAAAATTTGGCTTGATTTATAAAGAGTGTAACTTTATAATATATAATTATTTTAATTCAAATTCAAGATTAAAATCTCTATAAGTAGAACACAATATAAATGAGAAAGAGTTTTTGGAAACTAACATATTAAGCACAGATAATTTGAATACTAAAAACAATCAGCATGAATAATGAGTCTATTGAATGGATAATATTCATCTATTTAAATTTAAGCAAATCCTAATATTGAATAGAAAAAGTCTCAGTGCATTATTATTTGTATTTGTATCAATCACTATCAGAATGATTCTGTAAGTGATAATGAGATTTAATCAACGGTTTGTAGGACTTTGATGTATTTTCTTCTTTGTTTAACCATTAGTGAATGTTGATTTCTAGGATACCGGCATTCACATAGAATCACCATTAACTACTGATTTTTTGGAAAACAACCATATATGAATAGCCCTCAAGTGGAGACCTGCGTGACCAGAATTTTTTAGTCATGATCATGAAAATTCCTCAAACTTAGTCACGTTACGGTTATGATCTTAAAGACTTTTCGAATTCAGTTAACATCACATTAATAAACCTTTTGAAAGCCATATCTTGAATACTAATATCGTCAAAATTGGTTTCAGTTCATCAATAAGTCAAAAATTCTAAGAATTTCATAAAAATCTTCGATTTCTACATGATTTTGATCTTTGTCATAGTAACGATCATGCGTGATCGCTACTCTCGAAATGATGATACAGTTTCATTCTTCTTCAATACTCACACATCCTCATCAACACACATTTGGATGAATCGAACGAAGCATTGTATATGAGCGAAGATTTTGTGCAAGTGATGAAAAAAATACGCAAATTGTTTGATTATTTTATCGCTTTTTGGAGTTGTTGTCATATTGAAATAGTTATTTTGCAGAATAAAATTTTTCAGTGATAATATTTTAGTCGTAGGATCGTAATCAAGTCATCTTGTCAGTACTTATTCTTTTTCATAATTCAACTTTAGTCCTCGATTAATCCGACATACATATTTATCATCTACTCAATAAACTCATTATATATGCTGATTGTTTATGATGATGCTCAACCTTTCTCTGCTGATCTATTCTCGTACTTAAGTTTCCTGTTCTAATATTTTCCGGTTTCATCTTTGATTAATGTGAAGGTTTTTTTTTGTTGTTGTTTTATTTTTAGATAAGACAATCTGGAAGAAATTTCGAACACCTGGATTCTGTAATGATATATCCTATGAGCTCAACGAACTCTATTAACGACATTTCAATGTTATATGGTACACTTTTCAAATAGCTAAGTGGCTACGTTGTTTAATACATATCCAATAGATACTGTGCTCAAAATTCGATTCCATCAACCATGAAATGATTCTGAACAATGCACGAACGGCTGTTTGTTTCGGATTACTCATTCGATAACATGCTGACTAAGTTATGACATATACTTGCCCTCATAGTCAGTCAGTGTGTACCAGGAGCTCAAGCGATTGAACGCAAGAATTTCAATCTTCTGTTTATAGCTACAGCTAGTAATAGTTGTAATAAAGATATCGAGCTCATGAATCTATCATTAGGCATCGTTCTGGAAAAGAAAACTTACTAAATAATATATTCACTATGTTGACAACGTAATAGTACAACACGTTCATCACTTTGTGGACATGTTTGTGGAAAAACTTTAACCATATCAAGTTGATATTTATCACGTAAACGTTCAAGACGTTCATTACGTTTTCCAGTTATAATTGATATAAATTTTTTTTGAAATAATAATCGAATTTCATATTGATTTGATGAACATTTAAAAGCAACCATTAAATCTGTTAAGATATCAATAGATCCATCAAGATCATTTTGATCTATTATTGTTAATATACATTCAATTGTTGATTGACATGAAAGTTTTAATACATCATTAAATTGTTCAATATCAAGACTTTTTATTAATTCTTCTCGAACATAATTTGGTATTAATAAACGAAATGGAAGATAATGAGATAAATTATTAAGACCTTGTCGTGTTGCATCTGTCCAAACAGGTGGTATTGGTTTATATTCAACTGGACTAGGTGAAGGAGATTTAGAAACTAAAGATAAGATATTAAATAAAATTTAAATTTAAATTTTTAATTCTTTTCGATTACTTATGTCAGGTATTGATGCTAATGATTGAGGTGGTGGTGGTGAAGGTGGAGGATGAGGTAATGGTTGATGCTTACTAAAATCTGTTGTTTTATTTAATTGTAATTCACCATTTATTTGAACATTCGATGAATCAAGTTGTGAATCAAATTTTCTCATGTAATCAATTTCATCCTAAAGAAAAAAATATATATACAAAATCAAAATTAATAAGTTATATTTAAGAGTATCCTTCTTACTTTTGGATCATTTCTAGTTCTCCACGAGTATACAATCTGTTAGACTCAAATTTTTACTGCAGCTATTCTCGTATGTTTTTAATTAAAAAATCGAAAGATTGATATTTTTCATCGGAATCGTAAGTAGATTTGATAGTTTTTGAGGATCTGCTTTTAAAACTTTTTTTTGTCAAGTATGGATCCCATCATTTTTGATAATCTAGCTGTAGTAGAAATTTGAGCTCGACAGATTATACTCTTGCAGAGAACTAGAAATGATCTAAAAGAGATGGAGGTATCTTTAAATAAATATTACTTTTATTTGTTTTAAATTTTGTTCAATTTCATCAAGTTCTTCAGAATTAATTAATTGTGGATTATTTTTCATAATTGATAATTGTTTTATTAATTTATCTTCAAGTATTTCTTTCATCAAATTTTGTAATTTCATTAATTCTTCATATGAATCAGTATTTTCTTTTAACATACGATCTTTCATTGATCGTATACGATTATACATAGAATTTTTCCATTCATCTAATTCTTGATAAACATGTTCGTGCATTTGTTTAAGATCAAATGAATTCAATGCTTGTTTTTGTATTTGAATTTTTTTACGTATTTGTGAAGGTGATAATTCAGATGATGTTGAAATACTAATTGATGTTGATCGTTGATTATTTGTATTTAAATTTGTTGAAGATATTATTGGTGATGATGGTGTTGGACGTGCTGGTTCAAGTGTTGTTTTATCTTCAATAATTGAGATTTTTTTTGATGATTGATTTGTTTGAGTTCGTGTTCCATAAAGTGATTTATTGTTATTAAAAAGAGGTAAAGGATTAAGACCATTATTGTTTGACATAGTTGAAAACAAAAAGAAAATTGAAATAGAACAACTAAACAAAATTACAGCGTATTTTTTCAATTTTTGATTTAATTCGTTTCTGATTGATTCATTTTAAAAAGCCAATCATTGAAATCTTGATTCAATTGACATTGATTACTGGTGACGTCTATCGAAATTTAAACATTATACAAATAAGAAGCACAAAACAGAATTAAAGGAATTAAATAAATGTCATTTTAATTAAGAAAATTGTTTACTTATATAATTCTAGTTAACTCTCATATTGTTTATGTACGGTAGTCACAAGAAGTCCCACTATCGGATTAAAATTACATAAACTTCAATTCTTTTGTGTAATATATTGATTACAAAAAGAACTCTGTAGACTCCGATCGTAAACAGAGATCCAAGCTTGATAGGCCTAAATGCAAGGATTTACGATGAAAACAATGGTTTTCTTGTAAAAGGTCGGAAAAAGCTTTTTTTTTATATTTTTCTGGTTTTTGACTGTTTAAATGCGTTAACCTCCATTTCCTTATAAACAAATAAAGATTCGCACGTCTATATTATGTCACAGATGGAGTACTTCAATCGGCTGTAATCTTGAGGTCGGGAAAGATTCTATCGCCTAGGACGGTCTCAACACGGATCTCTTCTCCATGAATGGTTGCGATCATAAAATTTTCAAGAACTAGTGATTGTTATCAACACTCATGACAAGACTATTCAAAGAACACTTCATAAATCAGACAAACTAAAATTGTTTTACATGAAATTTTTATTGATGGTAGAAGCAGTAGTGAACCGTCGAATGAAAGGTCTAACGTCATGAGATTTATTTTTTATGTTAAGATATCCTTGTCTGAAGAAAAAAATCTATATTGACTTTCTAGGTTCTCCAGATGAACGTTGATCAAGTCCCAATTAGTCCTTGCGATCAAAGTTCAACATGCTCTATGTGTACTCAAATTATGATACTAAAGGATTGCAGCTTACATACTTTTTATCTAGTAGTGAGTCTTTTTGTGACCGCTCTATTCATTAAAAGACATATTTAGAAGAAATGATATTTTACACTTTTTAAATTCTGTATCTCATTCTTTTCATATAACAAAAAAGAGCGAAGTTTGTCATGATAACAAAACGATCATGTAGAGCATGTGATTACTGTTGTTTTTTCTTTTTTTTTTATATTGACTTTATGACATGTAACCAATATATACTTTCGAAACATAATTTTCTACAGCAAAAAATATAACGTATCATCAAAAGAGTTTTTTTTCTTATGAAGTATATCGTTTTTTATCGTTCTGTTTTTGTGTGTATCAAATTTTGACTCGTTTGTTGCTTGCCTGCATTTCTGTATCTTAAATTTACCAACATAGCAAGATACAGGTAAAAATAACAGTTTCTCTTGCTCGTTTCTTAAATTTTAGTTTTTATATTCAATAAATTGTTCTCAATCAAATGATTGCGATTCAAACACGTTGCGATGGTATCTTTATGGGACATGCAATTGTGTCAAAATTTGATATTTCTTGTTATATGGCGTTACAATTGAGCGAAAGTCTTCTTGAATTAAAACGTTTCGATGGACCTAATATAATGTCTCGATACCTCTATTTATATCATACAAAAAGGTATGATTTTGGTGAAACGATGAAAGTTGTCTATCAAAATTTGAAAGATAAAACTAAAAATTATCCTGGACATTCATCGGTTTGTCGTGAAGATTTTCTTTTTGATCAATTGATTATTGATGAAACTGTTAAATTAACTGATAAAAAACTCGGTGGTTATACAGCTGGATGTGGTCCAGTTCATCGTTCATTTCCTCTTGCATTATGTCCTTGGATCGATGATGATAATCTATTTAATATATCAAAGAACGAAGCAACATTAACTCATTTTAATCCATTGGCAGGACAAGTTGCTGGCATTGTTAATCTTATTTGTCGATCATTATTAAAGAATAATACATGGCATGATGCTGTTCAGTCAGCATTTTTAACACCTTCACTTCATACTGAGTTAAGCGATGTATGTTATCGATATAGTCGTTGGTCTACTCCAAGTAAAACCACACATCCAGCTTATGCTCCAACAGTGCTTCAAGAGGCACTTCATTATGTGACTATTTCAAATAATATAGCTGAAGTCATTGAAAAAGTTAAGATTAATAGAAACGTGTATTGCTTACCTATAGTTGGTGTATTATCGGGAGCTCTATGGGGTATTCCATTAGATATGTATAAAGACAAGACTAATGATGTACAATTGAAAACAATTCGTGATACAGCAAATAAATTAAGCCAACAATGGATTTCACAATGTGAGAGTGTAAATGCTTGAAAAAAAGTTAAAACTATATTGTTGTATTTTGATCATGAAAATGTTTTTGATAATTTGATTAAAAATTTTATATTAAATAAAAGTTTTGTATTTTTAGTATAAAATCTTTTCTTTATTTTAGATTGATGGCTCAATCATTTGATACATGTGAACATATGATGCTTGGTCAAGCTGTTGTCGATAGCTTTGGAGCATCGACTAATATGGCTCTTGGACTTAGTAAAAGTTTACAAAAACGTAAAGCATTTGATGGAGCTCATGTTATGTCTCATTATCTATATTTCTATCATCTTTCGAAACATAGTATTGGTAAGACAACTGAATTAGTTTATGAAGAACTTAAAGCAACTATAACAAAACCACCACACAAATTAACAAGAGAACAATTTAAATTTCCGATAGACAAAATTCACAGTGCATCACGTTCTGCTCATGAACAATTAAACGGACTTTCAAGTGGATGTAATCCTGCTCAACGTTCTTTTCCACTTGCTTGTTGTCGATGGATTGATGATAATGACCTTTTTCAAATATCATGCGATGAAGCACATCTTACACACTTTAGTACTACAGCTGGACAAGCATCTGCTTTAACTAACTTGATCTGTCGACGTTTAATCAAAGGTGATCAATGGAATGATGCTATAAGAACTGCTTTTTCAACTGCTCCAGATCTGTTGGGTGAAATTCGAGAAATTCAAGATCGATATGAAAATGATACTAGGCTTAATTCTCGTTTACCTGCTGGATATGCACCAAATACGTTACATACTGCTTTATATTGTGTTACAAAGGCTAATTCATTTAAAAGTGCATTAAACCATGCACATGAACTTGATAAAACTTATTGTCCGATTATAGTTGGTATATTAGCTGGTGCTCGATGGGGTGTGCCATCATCAATGTTAGACAAAAGTCCTAAAGATAAACTAAAAGATATACGTCAAGTAGCAAAATGTTTTACTGATGAATGGAAGAAATAAATTAGGATTGGCAAATAGCTCTAAAAAGACTACTTTTTCATTGTCGAATTTATTTTCTGGATTACAAAATTTGATATGTATAATCGCAAAGAATTGTTAGAAATGTTTCAAACGTTGATTGTAAGAGAAAAGTATGTCAATATTTCTTTTGTTGTCAATGGTTAAATTATTCTTCGGATACTATTATCCATTGCAACTAAGAAAAGATGTAGGCATTCTTTGAATAACCTTCGATAGAAACAGGGCAAAGAACTGCGATTTTCACCATTACAAAGAGACGATCCAGATGCATAAATAGATACTGAAATGTACTTGGTCAGCACTGAACCAATCAGAATAAATCTTGATGAATATTTTAAAAATGGTATTCTGGAGCAATCTTTCAGTTAACCTCGATTGCTTATATGATCACTAGATAGGAAAAATCGTTCTCTTTCGATCTACACATAACCGACATTGCTAGCTTGTTCCGTTCAAGAGTTATAAGCGTTATTTTAAGACCTCTGACTTCAACCACTTGACCTGAGATCACTGTGAAAAATATCTAGGCAGAGTTAGTTCACCACGTTGAATTGAGTGATGATATTCGTTTTTCGTTACACAGCGTAATAAGTCTACATATCACAAATATTGAGATAGCAGTGTCAGATCATTTCGAATCCAAAAACAAATGTCGCCATTCGATTCAACATGATGAACTAACACTGCTTAGATGCTTTTTGTGATGGCTTCAGGTCAATTGGCTGAAATCAAGAGTCCCAAGAAAACGCTTATAACTCTTGAACGGAACAAGCTAGTAATGTCGGTTATGTGTTGATCGTGAGTACGAAAGCAAGGGAAAAGTTTGACCGATCAAGCTGAAACTTATAGGAATAACTAGTAACTTCAAGCTATAAAATTAGTGAAAATTTCATGAGAAAGTACCTTTACTTTTCAATTAGGCCAAAATCGCCTCAAAACGCCCCTGTCCTTGCGCTTACAAAAATGTTTAAAACTACTGTAGTAATAAACATACCTTTGACCGATAATTCCCTATGTTACTTTTGAAAGACTAGATACTTGCAACATCCATCGAGACGATGACATTCAGAAAGTATTGGAGCAGATAACAAATGAGTGGTGTAGTTCGATTCTTATACGCAAGTCAATCTAACAGCAAGGAAATAATCATTGTTTTCGAATTAAAAATTGATTCAAGTGAAAAAACCAATAGTACATTTGGCTCTATCAGACAATTCAGTCATTTTGTTGAAATCGAAAACGAATGATTTTTTCAAAGGATTCTGTTTTTCGTATCCGAGAAAGCCAACTACTGTAAAGCATTGCCTATATCAGTTTGACTTTGACTAATAATCAAGATAGAACTCTTAAAGAGTTAACTGAACTTATTCACGAGACTATTCAAATAGAGTATCGCAATCTATGGGTAGCTTTGTGTCGATTATTCGCACGAATGGGTAACTATGAGAAAGCTTCTTCACTATGTAAAAGAATGATAAATCAAAAAAATGGAAAATGACAGCA